GTGGTGTCCCTGCTCACGGCAGGGGGGTTGGAACTAGATGATCTTAAGGTCCTTTCCAACCCAAACTGTTCTATGATTCTGTACAGTCCTGGTGTCCCCAACATAAGAAGGACATGGAGCTGTTGGAGCAAGTCCAGAGGAGGCCACGAGGATGATCAGGGGCTGGAGCACCTCCCAAATACAGACACGCTGAGAACACTGGGGCTGTTCAGCCTGGAGAAGAGAAGCTGTGTGGAGACCTCAGAGCAGCTTCAGTGTCTGAAGGGGTCTACAAGGATGCTGGGGAGGGACCTTCATCAGGGACTGGAGTGATAGGACAAGGGGTGATGGGTTCACACTGAAACAGGGGAAGTTCAGGTTAGATATAGGGAAGAAGCTCTACCCTGTGAGGGTGCTGAAGTGCTGGCACAGGTTGCCCAGAGAAGCTGTGGCTGCCCCATCCCTGGCAGTGTTCAAGGCCAGGCTGGACAGAGCCTTGGGTGACATGGTGTAGTGTGAGGTGTCCCTGCCCATGGCAGAGGGGAGTTGGAACTATATGATCTTAAGGTCCTTTCCAACCCAAACCATTCTATGATTCCACGCTGCCATGCTTAGCTTGATGCCACTGAACTTGCACATCAAATGGCAACCTACAGAAAGAATTTGATTTTTACAAAACTGTAAGATGAAATAACATCCTTTTAAGAAGAATAAATTCAAGAATCCTCAATGTGACATTTAACCTTAAGCTAAGCACCACTTCCCTTTAACTAATGTTCTTACGCTAATGCAACAATCACATCCGATACACCAAATTTTTCATAACTTCATTACCTGCCTGTTGGTACGCCCCAGTGAAAACCATCCACTGAAAAGAACAATAAAGCACTAAAACAGAACTGCCAACAACCATTGAAAGTAAATACCAGTGGTGTCAAACACATAAAAAGACATTTATATACTTCCATCACTACAAACCTACCAGAAAAGAGTAATTGAACCTCAAAAATGAAACAGAATAATATACAGGAAGTATATTTTTCCTTAACAGATGGGTAAAAAAGACAAATAATAATCAGATATTACGTCCAATGCCACATTAAGCAATATGAAGGTATCCCAATATTAACACCTAAAGGGCAACCTTTTCCACTGTTTCACCACCCTCTTCGTAAAAAATTCCTGTATCTAGTCTGAATCTTCCCTCTTCTAGTTTAAAACTATCACCCTTTGCCCTATTGCTATAGGCCCTACAGCTCAGGATATCAGAGAAGATTGTAGAGCCCTCACACAGACTCAACACACAGTCTGACCTAGAGTAACTGCAGTCCTTCTTAAGTTCCCCAAATTAAAAGCCAGTCAAAAAACCCTAAACAGTTTAATGCTTGCAAATATAACACAGTATGTAATATAGGCTGAACAATTTCAGAGTGCACGCAGCTACATCCTTGTAATTAAAGGTATGAAAATCACATCCTCAGAATAAATAGGAAAGAAAGTGGCAATGTAATGAAACCTGAATAAGTAACTAAGCCTATAAAAGTCAGTGGTGTGGCCTCCATTCAAGCTCTCCTCATATAAAAATATTGCAAAACTTAATACTGCCATAATTAGACTGCCAAAGTCACTGTTGTTTCCCAAGCTTTAAGATTTCTGACAAGTAACCTGGTTTATATAAAAATATCAGAGACTAAAGACAAAAAGGAATGGTCCTGCATGCACTCTCCCTGTGCCACCTGCTAAAACCCTGTCTCAGTAAACCCCCACGGCACTGCCAGCAATCTTCTAAAAGGTACTGGTGGGAGAAGCAGTCCCCCTTCTTTCTGCTTTTAAACTTAGATGGTAATCCAGTTTACAGCACAGTCCTAAGAACTGTGGCATCAACCTGAGATTAACTCTGGTGCTGTGCGGGAAGCCCCTAAGCCAGCTCCACTGCTGAAAACCCATGCAGAGCTGTGCTTTTAGAAGCTGTTGAGTCTGTCTGAGCTGCACCCGAGCTCCTGAGGTCTGAAAGAAGAGGTAAGGATATTGGTAGAAACAGCAGGCAAAAGGATTATTTCAAAACTTTTTTAAAGGAAATGCTTCAAGATGGAGACATCAAATAAATTAAGTTTCAAGATGCCTGCAAATCTTCCCTTGTGTGAGGCTAATTTTCTGTGTAGTGAGCTGACAGCAGGGACAGCTCTTCACCTACAGCTGAATACCCTTAGACAACTACAGATTATGGAAACTGCCTTTTTTATATATATATCAAATATCAGCATTCATTCCTCTCCTATAAATTGCTTTTAAGCACAAGTTTCAGAAAGAACAAACTTACACTTTCATATACGCTTTAAAAACATCAGAATTGCTCTCAAAGGTGGTCTCTTGTTTCAGTGCTAAAAACATACAGGGTAATAAAAAACAAATAGCATAAAGCTAAAACACCACACCACCAACTACAGACAACACGGCTGTCTAAGTCCACGTGAAACAAGGACTTTTTACACTTCTTAAAATACTTCTACATTTGTCCACTTGGCTGCTTGTCATCAGTATGTATTCCTTCCTAAGAACTGACAGGCAGGGTGAATATTACACTGGACACCAACTCAGCAGAGAGCTCTTAGGTACTGAATAGTTGCAACCCAACACAATGTGACCCATATCCTGCTATCCAAAGATGCTGGGGACTTCTGTAATACAGCCTGATTGATTACTGTAATTCCTCCAGGATTTAAGCATTAAATGCAGACATTCAGTTTTTAATTACAGTTCATTCATTTTGCCCTGATTTCTAAGCAGTTAGGTTTTAACGTATAGCATTCTTACAGGGCTTTTTTTCTTCCCTTTGTTAAAAGCCACACAAAGTCCTCAAACAAATTCCAGCATTGACCCATTTCTACAAGTTGCCAGGATCAAAAACAGTGGTAAGCCAAGCAAGACCTTCAGATCTTCAGTGAAGCTTTTAATACTTGAGTCATTCTTTTTCCTAACAAAAAAAAAAGTTTAACGCTTAGGAAAAAAAAAAAATACATCCCATTCCCTCTTATTCCTACAAGAAGAACTCAAAACTGGATTTTGCCATACTCAAGACGAGGCAACAGCATCTGCAAAACTTCAGTTCATCCAACAGAAACACCTAGTGAGGAAGAACTACAGCAGAACACCACCCAACACATGCACACTCAACAGCAGTTATACTCCTGCTACATCCCCAAGGATGGACTCATGGAGAGAGTATAGTGGGGGGTACAATAAGTAGCAGCCCATTCCCAGCTACCCAAGAAAGCTTGGCAGTAGCTTTCTTGCCTTCACTTAGGTAGGAAAGGGAAATGAGAGACATGCAAATGGTGTCTGCATGGTTTTTGTGCTGTGAGGACAGGAGATACATTGCATGAACACTGAGGCAGAAAATGCTCGAGCAAGATTCATAAAGGTGG